AATTAATAAAATTAATACTTCAATAAGAAGAATATTTGTTAAATAAAATTTTTTTTTATTTTTTGCCACTTTTACTGACGCTGATGAAAATCATACCAAAAAAGGCAATTGGATTTCCTTTATTGGTAAGATTGCATTTTTTGCATTTTTCAAAAAAAATGCACGCATTTTTCACCACTTTGCATTGCATTTTCCTGGACACTCTAGCGAGTTGTATTATTATTATGTACGACATACAAAATAATTATATTTTTTCTCCTTTCCAAAAGAAATAAAATAAATGGAATCACGATTATCTTTACCAGGTACAAGAATCAGCTACTTGAACAAAGAAAACGACAGGAGAACTTCCATTGCTACTACTACAAAAAAATCACCATTTGCCACTCGCATTGCTACTCCATCCACAACAAGACCTATTTTCGATCGTACTACTGCTAATCATACTTCTGTAAAAACACCTACGAAACTACCGTTTGTTTCAACAAATAAATCACCTGTTTACACCAAAATTAGAAAATCACCAGTTATTTCACATGCGTCCACTACTGCCAATACTGCTAATACTTTTAATACTTCTACTACTGCTACTGCTACCGCCATAACAAAACCACAATTTGTTCTGCATGATTTAACAAAACCACCAATTGTTGCACATAATTCTACTTTAATACCATCAATTTTCACAGGTGCAACAACTACTGCTCCGACAAATTCACCATATGTCACTCGTAATAATGCTGCATTAACAAATTCACCACCATTTGATACTTGTGCTACTATTTCTAAAAAGAATTCGCAAGTTTTTAATCGTAATACTATTACTACTACTAGTACTTTTTCAACAATTGAATCACCAGTTATTAATCGTACTGTTGCTGTTCCAACCAAATCACCACCTGTCACTCGTCGTGCTTCTTATATACCTACAACAAAATTGCCAGTTATCACCTATTCAACAAATTCACTCTTACCATCTAGTCGTATTAAGATTGATAATATCTCACTCAGTCCCAAAAAACGTAAAAAGGTCGTTTATGATGATGATAAGAGCCCACGCAATGTTCGTCCAAAGAAATTTGAGAGTTTTGTAAATCAAATTTGGGAACAAAATCAAGAAATGATCATGAAAACTCAAAAATTAGAACAGGATTACAAGAATATGGTTATCAATAGACAGAGTCATGAGGCAGAGCTGATGAAAGTTAGTACAGAATTGATTGAGACTAAAAATGATTGTGAAAATATGGAAAGGAGATTAAGAGAAGAGAAGGATGAAATTAAGAAATTGTTGGAAGTGAAGGAAGAGCTTGAAAATGATATAAAAAGATTGGAGTTGGAATCAAAAAGATTTGATATCTTCAATGAACTTGAAAGCAAAATGAATCGTGGTTGAACAGGTGATATTTACTAGTCAGTGCATTTTTTAAGTGTATATTTTGCTATATATATTTCTCTGGGAGAGAATATCAATAATGCAATTTTAGTTTTAATTACAACTTAAATAAATAATGAATTTAAATTTATATATATACAGATTTTTTTTTATTCTTTGATCCAATCATTCATCCATTTCCTAACACTATCCATAACTTTCTTATCATTTTCTTCGTTATAATCTTTAAATTTAGTTAAAGCTTTTTTTGCTTTGTCATAGCAAATTTCACACTCATCATTAAGATCTTTCATCATTACCACTTTCAAATAAATCAATGCGACAATAGTTACACAATTTCTCCTCATTATCGAGATTATTGTTATTACCATCAAATTGTATTCATTCAGTCCAAAGAATTCAAAAAATTCATTTTAGGTTGAAATTTGCCATCAAATAATTAAAATGACAAAATTTTAATAATATTTCAATCTTTGGTTTCTTGCGTTCTTTTGCATCCTTCTCGACTTTCTTTTTCTTGACTTTTTCATTATTGTCATGATCAGATAATTCTTGCATTGGATCATCAAAAGAACATTCCTCCTCTGAGGAAAAAAAATTTTTGTAGTTAACAATCAAAAATCAAATTTATATGCAAATAAAAAATAGTTTCTATCACACTTTAAACCTACTTGAAATACCATGAGGTCCTACACTAGAATATGGCAATGTTCTACAATCAAAAATCAAATTTATATATAAATAATAAATAATCAATTAAAAAAATAGTTTCCATTATTACACTTTAAGCCTACTAAAAATATTGATTTCTCCTCCTAAATAGAATGCTGACGCTGATTCCACAATCAACAATCAAATTTATATGTAAATAAATAAATAAATAATTAAAAAATAACTTCCATCACTACTTGAGAATAGTGATAAGCTCCCTAGATTTCTGATTTCTTTTTTTGGAATATTTCTAAACTATTGATTTTTGAGTAACTGATTCCTTTGATTGTTCATCAATTGCAACAAACTAATAGTTATCATTATTATTATTAATTTACCAGAAAAAATGTATTATTTTTATTTATTTTTATTATTATTAATTGTTTGTTTACCTTGTATATTTTGACATTAGATTATATTTTATTCCCAAGTTAACGATATAATCTCTAAATATATAATCATGAATAGCTTTGCCTTCAAATCTAGTTTGTTAATAAATGACCTATTTTCATCTATAAGTTTCCTGGCAGCCAGCGTATGAATTTTTGATCCAGTTAAGGTTACATGATCTATTTGGTATTCTTAATTACATTGGTCCATCTGATGATTTAGCTGTCAAAAAATAATTTGTTGGATGGGTGAACACCTTTTGATAAAATACAATAGATTATAAATCTAACACCTGAATAAATTTCTGTAAATTATAAGACGCTTGTTGAACTTTGTTATGTTCTGATAATTTTATTATATCTTTTTTATTTAGAGCTTCTGTTATTTTTGTTGGTGGCTGTGGATCTGTTTCATCATTATAAAAACTAATTATCGGTTTCTTTTTCTCCTCCTCTCCTCTTTCTTTCCATTTTCCTTGTTCTTTTTCAAATAATAATTAAAGAATCTTTCTTCATCTTCAACTTGTTTATTATCGTAATTTGTTGTCCAATTAATTTTATAATCATTAACAAGTGGTTTAACAGCATTTTTTTAGCATACCCAGGATATTTCCTTATCCATTCTTTCATTATTGGTAACAAATTGTGCATATCCATTACCAGTTCTAGCAACTGACTCGACCAAATCATGTGAAACACTATCATTAATACCCAAAGTAAATATTCTTAAAACCGTTATTATGATTATTATCTTCAACATCTTGATTAATCAATTTAGCAATCTCGTCAACTTATCAAACATTGTCATCTGTCAATAAAAATAAAGCGGTGGTCATATTTGTCAATTGATCATCAAATGCCCATTTTATAAGATGATAAATTTCTGTTCCTCCATAATCTGCATGCAAATTTTTTGCCAAGTTGATAGCTTTATCCAATGAATGTTGGGAGTATTCTTGAGATTTTGGAAATAGTGAGTCGTGATGACTACCAAAAGATACAACATTAAAATAACAATCCTCTGGTAACGAACGTACAAATAGTTCTAATGCTTGACCCGCTTTTTTAATTGGTTCACCTTCCATTGATCCAGACCTATCATTATTAATTAATTGTGTATATACTTTTTTAGTATTGATTGCTTTTACACACACGAATTAACAATTTAAGATTTTAAATTACCTGTCAATTATAAAAACTACTTCCGTTTGAATTTGATTTAAAGCAAATCTTGGAACTAATGTTAGCATTAAACGATTAGATTCTGTTTTAAGATTATATTCAAGGAATGCTCTAACGAATGAATTATAAAGTAAATTATAAATTATATTAGAATTAAAAATCAACCAAAATCACCCTTTCCCAAATAACCGATTACCTTGGTTTATCAAGATCCTCACTCTCGACAATTAAAACAAAATCTTTCTCTAAATAAATAATCTGTTTGGCCAAAGTAACAAAGGAAATTTTAGGATTGCATCAACATTCAACTTGGTAGAGATCAAGTGAGATGGAGATTCGATTGATTGAATGGTTGAAGTCATTATACAAGTAACTTTTAAATCCAATTTATAATTTGCTCCTACAGAATATTTTACATCATCAGGCACGAGTTTTTTGCCATCGTTGGCTGAGGAAGAAGAAGATCCATATCTTTCTGCTATACAAGTTGGTAAAAAAAAAATCGTATTTTTTCTTTCTCAGGGCCGTAACATAAGTTGATTTTGATGATTACTCTCTGATTACTTTTTAAGTTTCCAACTGAACATTAGAACACATTGGATAATTATTCTTTGAGTAAATAAGCATATATCCTTTCTATTAGGTATAATTGTCTATGAGAACATATGTATATTATCAAACAATAGATCACACTAATAATTTCTTACCTCAATAGCTTGGTTATAATCCAAAGCGGCTTGTTTTGCTTCCTTCACAACACCTCTAACTTTATCTTTACCATCAATTTCTGCTTCAAAATCACAAATGGCTGCAGCTTCATAATTGGAAATTTGTACAACGATTTAATGCTCTTATTTTCAACATTTTTATACGTTTGATGGATTACAACTGAACAGTAAATGAAATGAATAAAAAAGAAAAAGAACAAAATTAAGAATTAAGAATTAAATTGACGGGATAGTATTACAGTGGGAGTTTTTTTGTTTTTTTTTTTTTATTTACCTTCAGCAATCATATCAACAATTATTTGCTTCAACCTTAACATTTTGTAAAGGGAATGGGTTCACTTGAGAATCAGGCGAAATACAGACAAGAACATAAATTTGCAATCTTTTTTTATAAATGAAAAAAAGAATTTTTGAAAATAAAACTTTTTCTATGACGGGTTCGGTCTAAAGATCTCCTAATACTAATACTGGGCCACATGATCGAATTTCAAATATGCAATTTGTTCTAAACATTTTTATAGGTATTTCCAAAAATGGATTTTGGTGTAATTAAAAAAGTTACAATTCCACAATCAATACACTCCAAGGCCATTTTCTATCTGATCTGAATATGTTTGGAGCCTTACCAAAGAAGTGGGGGATATGGATGAGGCTAGTATCAAAGAAGTCAGACACGTTCTCAAAGAGACAGACATTGATATGGATCTGGATAAATTTTCATGCCCTGTAACATGTTTTCAATCGGCGAAATTGTTTCGTTTTCCTTCAAATATGGTTTTAACTATGATACTTGTAATTATTTCGAAAAATTGTATACTCACGATAATTGCAATTATTTCAAAGTTTCGTAATTATTTCAAATACTTGTAAAATATCCATAATGATTAGAATTAGAAGTATTCAAAATTATTATGAATATTCGAAATAAATTGTTGGGCTAAATTTTGAGTCGTATGGGAAATATTCGGTTTCTACCTTTTTCTTTTCCATGGTGGGTCGCTTCCCAAAGTTTTTTTTCGGTGAAGACCCTTTATAGTCGAGAAACCCTGATTTATTTTATATTTGGTTTAGTACTTTATAACAAACCATGTAATAATATACGACAAGGCAATGTAATCACGATTATCGATGATAATTAATTGATCACGAAAATTATCATTCTTTTTTTTTTGATTAAAAATCGTAATTTTTGTGCAGATTTGTCAATTAGAGAGAGAGAAGAAAGAAGAGAGCGAGCGAGAGTAAATGTGATGGATGGCCTGTTTATCATTACAATTGAATCTCGTTTCAACAAAAATTGCGTCGAAAATTTGTTATACCAAAATTACTAACCACGTTCAACAATCAAGTTTTTTATTTGAATGATCCATCTAACCGCAAATATATATATAATCACTTCGTTCGCACTCTTCTTAAAATAAAATAATATCCATCATATCCTCAGTTGTATTCATTGAAAGTGTAAGCGGAGAGAAGGTCTATAGACGGTAGAATAGGTAATGATGGATTTGTCAAATAAACTCCAAGACACTTAGAAATCATGGGCAAGGCTTCTTCTTGGGATTCGTTGGATTTCTTTCAGGTGACATCGTAGCTGAATATAGAAGGTTGGATTCTTTGCACCAAAATGATCTGAAAGAAGTATTGTATCTCTACTAAAGATGGCTCCTCAATTAATTGCGGCTGGTTGCAACTAATTGCGGCACATGAAAATTGAATTGTGGCTAATTGTGTTTCCCATCTTTAAGCACTACATTAGTGGTAACACACATTTTGATTTCACTTCATGTAATACCACATGATAGCTAAAAAGCTCACTTTGCGTTATCATTGCAAACTTATTGTTTTGGCGATACATTATAATATTTATCTTATTATGTATAAATAAATATTAGAGGTTAATATTAAAGTATTTAATTAACTATAATCGGTTAAAATTAGAGCTTCCAACTGATTATCTAATGAATAATAACTCATTTGAAAAATTTAAGGTTCAGATGTCATGTTAAATGGGATAACGGATAACCGAACAAATAATTCTGGAATGATCCGAATCATCCTAGGATTCACCAATTATTCATCGTTAAACAATATTTTAATGAACTTAATGAAAAAAATTAAACATGATGGATCTTTCATAAAAATGGTTAGTTTTACGCTTATTATTTTACCAGTTGACCCCGATTTCTCAATTTTTGTGGTACAGTTTTCATCTTATTTTATTTTATTTTATTATGACCCGTATTGAAAGGAAAATATAAGAAGATATAGAGAAAAACATAAAAATATTGCAATTCTATAGAATGGTTTATATTTGTAATGCAGTTTATTGTTATTGTTATTGTTAAGATCCTTATTTTGGTTTTGAGGTTTTTTATTTATATTTACATTTTTTTTGTTTTTTTTGTTAGGTCTTCTTTTAATTCTATTGTCAATGCCATTTTCATTTTCCCAATTAATAACATTGTTATTCCTTTCTTTCCATATCTGAAATAAGTCTTGATAGATTAAGTTTGTTAAAAATATTAGAAAGATAAAATTGTTCTTTTTGATGGTATCAAACTTTTGATCAGGTAGATTATTCATTAATAAAGTTGAGTTGGTTGATATATGTTATCAATTATTTTGTGCTGGTACAGTTTTCACCTTTATCTAGCTTTTGATCACATTCAAATATAAATTTTTTTGAATCTATTTAGTTTACCCCAATTATATATCCTACTGCAAAGTTTTGATCCTCCTTTACTTTTGACTTGAAGAACTAATGGATCATCTTTTCTTCATTATCAAGAAGTTTATCAAACACGTTTTTAGTATGCTCCAATACCATCACCAGTATCGCGGCGTAAGCTTTTCTATATCAATGTAATCATCATATTCAGCCATGCATATTTCTTTCAGTTGACATATTTGGAAATGATGTACTTTAAGCTTTGCAGGCGATTTATTTGTTTTCTTGACCCGTTAAAATGCGAATTGGATTGTAATTAGTTGAAACTATTGAAACAAGGTATGCATGTTAATCAATGTTCTTGGATGATCCGGATAATTCATAGAATTTTATCCATTTTGTGAGAAAGACAAGAAAGGCGAGAAAAGAAGAAAAGGATTCTAAATCTAGATATCCGTTCAAGAATTAACCGGATACAATTAAGATGATAATGATAATGATAATAATAACAACAACAACAATAAGGTTAACCGGATTTAATAATCCGTTCAAGGAAAGCTTCTTACTATATTAATATTAGTATTAATAGTTAAACGCAGATCATTATTATTATTATTTCACAATTTTCAATTTTCGCAATTTGTGATACATTTTATGCGGGTTAATATTAATTAATAGTAATAGCCATCCAGAGTTTTGAATCGGTTTTTAGAAATTTAAATGAAAAAATATCCTCTTAGATTAATTAAAAATCTGATCCAGTATGTGAAGCTTAACGGTAGCTTGAGCATAATTACTTAATATTAATTCAATTGGCCATTTTATAGTTTTATAAAATAATAAATATTAATCCAATAAGATTCTATAATAAATTGTCATTGCCAGTATAAACAAGCATTAATAATAATTTTAAAAGAATTTTCATGGCCAATCAGACTAAACAAATTCATCGTTATCATAATAAAAAATAATAGGTTGTCGATAGCTAAGCCAAACTTTCTTTTGGTTCACATCTTATAAATAAAATTTTAATAGCGCTTAACTTAACATTAACATTAACATCGACATTAACATCGACATTAACATTGATATTTACACTAACATCAATGTTAAGTTAACTTGAATAACACGCAGCAAATTCCTTTTTTTTTATGAAATTAAATTTGTTTTTTATTCTTACGTTAAAATAAATAAATGGATTACCAGTTTTGCCGATTCTTTTTTAGCAACTTTTTGAGTCTATCTTTTTGCTTTGTTTTTCAATTGTGGTTCGCTCCCAAACTTTTTTCTTCGGATAAAGGTTCTTTATTGTATTAATTAATATTTGGTTTAGTACTTATAGAAAACTATGTATGAAATGTGCCACAAGGAAATGTGTTGGTGATTGATTACGAAAATTATCCATTTTTTTTTTTGCTTCTATATATTAAAAGATCAAAATTTTTGTGCAGATTTGCGAGCTTTTTTTTGTTGATTAGGGGGAGAAGTAATAAGAAAGTAAAGGTGGATGGATGATTACGGTCAAATCTCGTTTCAACGAATCAATGGGAGCACACAAGAAAATTGCGCCAAAAATTCATTATACCAAAATTACTAATCGTAACGCGAATTTAATTATAATTCGTTGAAGCTGTACTACTATATATTTTTATATTTAATCTCTGGCCTATTTTGCTATATGAATATGTATGGCTTTGTTATTTTATAGTGGCAGTAGAAAAGATTTATAATAAGAATAAAGACAGATAAGAGGGTTAAATCAAATTCATGGATTGTTCTTTTTTTTCTTTTATGTTTTAAAAAAGACTTTGTTGATGTTTATAGGGTGATTTTATTTGAATTATCCATCTAACCGCATATATTTGATCAATATTTCATTTGATTCGCACCCTTTCTTAAACAAAAATGTCATTTATTATTATATCCCCAATTGTATTTATCAAGAGTGCAGGTGGAGAGAAGGTATATACAAGCATTGCATACAAATAGAATAGACAATGATAATGCCGAGGCCACTTTTCAAACATTACTAAAATAAACATTCAGAAAACCTTGAAATTAACGGTGTACATGCCTCAATGTACCGATTCCCATTGCAGAACGCTTTTACTTTGACGGTAAATGAAGATATGGCCAGGCTCTTCTTTGGGATTCGCTAGGTCTCATTCCGTTTGATTTTAAAGATAGCAATAGATAAGGATGTCGTAGCTGAATATAGAAGGTTGGATTTTTTGTCCTGAAAGAAATATCTCTCTACATTAGTATATAGTAATAATAAATATTAACATGATGCACATTTGTATAAATGTGTAACTATAAAATGACTAATTATATTTTTTTGATCTACTAGCATGACACCCTCCATTCTGATATATATAGTTGTGTGTCTATCTATAATAGTGGTAGATCATTTATTATTATCATAAGATTGCGGTATTTTTGATCACATATTCCGCACAATCGGAATTGTTATTATAAATTCGACTATGCCATAGTGAAAATCTGCAGATAACCTCCAAATTTGGCTATTTATATTATTTTGGACATTTTGTTTAATACTAATACTAGCTATTTTGACTTTTAGACATATCCTAAAACAATTTAGGTATGCCTATTTATAGTGTGTTCGTTCCAATCAAAAACTAATTTGAAGGAACAAAAAATTTATTTTTTCTTTTTGTTCTCAAAATTATTGATTGTGCAGATCAGTCTAAATAATAAATTTCCTGCAAAAAGTTGTTCCTGATTTCCATCATCTAATAGAACAAAAGAACAGGATCAGGACTTTGAACACCCTTGTTATTACTCTATAATTAGATTAATTAAAACAGTTTCAAGTTTTGGGAGTTTAAAGAAGCATTAAAAATTCTATATATCAGTTATAGCTTAGGTTCTGAAGATGATGTATACAAAATTTTATAGTATTGTTTTATAGAGATCTACAAATTAAAAATACGCACGAACCTCACTCGGCACTTTTCCTAACAAACACACGTGTTTAAAATCTTTCCGAGTATTTTCAATAACTAATTAGTTAAGTTTTATTTTCACCAACTACAACAGCAAAAATGAAAGTAAGCATTTTGCTAAATTTACTTTTTTTAAAGATATTTTTTACAAGTGATCAAACTTAATGGTAAACACATTATACACAACAAAAAAAGATTTATTTTAAAAACCAAATAAAATGTGCAATTTTTGCTTTTAAACATTTTTCTTTGTGGGCGATTATGATGTATGTAATAAGAATTCGTCAAGCTGGAATAATCAATTGATATATATATATACTACAGTCAGAATTCGTCAAACAAAAGTCAATGTTTTCATAAAAAAAAATCTTTGGTTTAAGGAACCTTAATAAAATCGGCTTTTAGAGATAAATTTAATAAGTAGATGATAAAAAAACATCGATTTATCGTGATATATTCGTTTTGTCAAAGCTCGTCTTGACGAGTTCTGGCTGTGTATGGAGGATACAAATAATTAAAAAAGCTGTCATCACAGTTGACTTTGGTTTTGTTACAGCCCTACATATATAAACATGGTAAAAATTCATATGAATAGAAAAATTATTCTATATATATATATTTTTTTCCGGGAGATTAGTGATAAAAGGTTGTGATAATAAATAGAGCTCGCATTTAAAAATAAATTTATTTGTCGGCCACTTTCTAAATTTCTTTGGTCCAAATCTTCTATATATATATATATATTATTTTATTATAAGTCTAATTTACAAAATATTTATTATTATTGACATCTAATTTATATACGTGTTGAATTAAGTCTATATTATATTGATCCATATGATGATAACCATGCTTCGTTAATCTCAATAATCACCTTATCGCCACTACTATCGTCATTAAAGTGATTAAAATAATTATTATCACTACTATTAGTATTAGTAATATTATCGGAATCGTCATCATTACTTTTTATATCGTCGTTGTCGTTGTCGTCGTTGTTGTTGTTGTTGTTGTTGTTGTCGTCGTCGTCATTGTTGGTTTTGTCATTGTTGTTGTTTTTTGTTCGTCCAAGTTTGAATTTTATTTTAATAGAAGGTTTTTTTGACCTTAATATTTCATCTGGTGGTGAATAATAACAGCATGGTAAAAAGAATACAGCAGATTTTGTTGTACCAAATATTAAAAACGCCACTATTCCACTAAAATAATAATCAAAAAAAAAATTTTTTTTCAATTAATTATTGTTTTTCTTTTTTTCTTATTCCGCAAATTTAATTCAATTTTTTTTTTTACCTTGTTGAATTAACATAATCGGAAAAGTAATATGCTTTATCAATATCACCATTATCCGAAATTTTTGGTTTTGTCACTAAGGACGAGGTAATAAAACAAGCCATCATGATGATATAAAATATTATGTAAACGCAAACTCTAATCGCGTGACCCAATCTAATTGCAGTTAAACGATTGTAATATTTTTCATAATTTTTCCAACGAACAAATAAGATGCATAATGAATGACCTAAACAAACAAACAAAATTGAAGAATGAGTGAAAATGATGATGATTAGAAATGTTCGTATTTATAATATATATATATATACACACACACATATATACTTACAAACGAAAATTAATGAAGCCGCCAACGTTGTACTAATTATAATAAAGCATATAATAAAACGATCGAAACTCCCATCCATACGAGGCTTGCAATATAACGTACCAACCATAGTACCCCAAAATCTTTCTTTTTTATCTGCAAAAGTGTTCCACAATGTGTAGGCAATCGAAGCACCCCAAATAACAATGGTGAAATACCAAAAACATAAATTTTCTATATACAAATTATTTTTTGCTATTGCGTACCATTGATAAAATGCTAAAACTAAAGGAAATAAACATACAGGGTATATAAAAACTTCCCCTATGTCTTTTTGTAGTATACAAATTAATTTTTTTGGGCCATCGTCAAATGTTTGGTTTATTAAATCGTCACCATAAATTGCTAATGGGGTAACATTAATGGTTGAATATAATAATAGTGAAACGTATAATTGAAAAATTGTCCATTTTGTAAAGTAATATGATGATTTGAATAATAATACATATAATAGAAATGTTATTAAAATTACGCTTAAAGCTACTGTGCTAATGTAAAGTGATGTTAAAATTGAATATGACATGTAATCTTTTATTTAATTAATATTTAAGAAAATTTTTTTGTAAAAATTTATTATCTTAAAAGAAACTAATACAATATTTATATACATTTTACTGTTGGTAGTAATAGTTAGATAATTACTCACACCAATGCTTATCCTTTCTTATTTTAAATATTTTGCACCAATTAACCAATAATTAATAAATCAAAAAAAAATTAGAAAGAAAATTTTTTTTCATTTAGATTACGAGCTTTTCCAATTAAAGAAAACCTGAAAATTTTGATGTTTGAAAAAGGCACAAAATTATAATTCAATGCATGCGTGCTATCAAAAATGTACTGTACGTAATGAAAGGTGCATGCATGCATGACCATTTATTTTGTTCTGGAAATAGTTTTGCTACACAAGGGCACAAATACTTTCTATTTCTTAATAATTCATAACCAGTTTTAATTACCTATTATATAAAAACTTGTTTTGGGTCCTGAGATATATGTGTACAATCAAGCCTCGTTTTCAACGAATCTATTGGATACATAAGAAAATTAAGGAAATTACATTTAAAATTCGTTATACCAAAATTATTAATCATGTTCCAACGAGTTTTATATGTTTTTGAAAATTCGTTGTAACGCGAATTTATTTATTAGTTCGTCGAAGCAAGATTTGTCGGAACGAGCTTTGACTGGATATTTAAAAGGAAATAAAAAATCGTTTAAAAAATCTTTGGTTGAGTTAGAGTTTCAATCAAATCTTTGAATTATTCAGAATACAACTTGATTCGAATTATTCGTTTATTCGAATACTCAAATTCATATATAGCGAATAAAACAAATAATAAACCTTGTTCGAACAGAAACCCCAAGTCGAGCAAACTCGAGTTAAAACTTGATTTTTCAAGTTTGAGCTGAGTTCAAAAAAATTGACTCTTAAAATTGTTTTTTAGGTAATTGATTACATCAATAAAATAAAAATAGTAGAACCAAACCGAGCCAGCTCGGCTCGTTCGGAGGTTTAATATGTATGATTTTGCGGAATAATAATGATAAAATCAATTTTAAATGACAAATCAAAGGCCTGTAGGAAAAACCTTCAATTCTTGAACTAGCAGGTTTTTAGACAATTGTTATATTAAATTTGTATTATTTGGCAATTTCTTTATATCTGTGTTTCTTGGAGCATAGCCAATGTTGATAATGCTGCTGCTGCTGTTGCTGCTGTTGTAAATCTTCAACTAATATAAGTAAATTATATTATCTTCAAATGGAGAAAATTATTATTTGTTTCTAACTGAATTTATTCAATAAGTTGGGATAGATTCTGACCGACTAATAAATAAACTCTCCACCTTTGACCACCATATCAACAAATCATAGTAATAATAATAATAATAATGTTTTTCTTCTACTGCTATCTCTCCTTTGATTATTAATGATAACAATACACCTATACCTAAATTGACGATAATACACAAGAAGGTACCACAAAAGCACAGGAGAAACAAAAGGCAAGCTCAAGTCGAAGAAAATCAAAGTACGATTTTAATAATGATTTGATAATCTGTAAGTTTATTTAGAAAATATTATTTTTGAGTATTTACTTTTTAAATGATATTTTTAACAATGGCTTATGAATCATCAGAGACAAACAAATATGTCAGAAATTACTATGAAACAAAAAAAAAGAAGAGGTTAACAGCTTCATCTGATGATAATGCTCTAAATAAATTATGTTCTTTTTAAATGACAAGACCAATTGCATCGTTTTAAATGAACTTGAGGTTTTTTATTCTTTTTGATAATGTCATTATAATATGTTTAGAAAAGAATTCTGCAGTATCTTAATTTGATAAATAAATTCCGAAAGTCATCAAAGATGATTCATCTGTCTTCTTGCCTTGCAAGCAACGCCTTTAACGTCAACAGCTAGAAGTGAAAACTAAATCAAGTCCCACAATTTGGTGGTGCAAGTAACGTGATTTTTTAATTAATACAATAATAGAATGATAATAATTGCCAAGCATTACACTTAAAAGACTCGTAAACTAACCAAATATGAAACCACTTATCGCTATTTTTTGTTTTGATTGTACAACTAACTGCAAACCAATTTTTTATTTGATTTTTATTTATGTAATGATTAATAATAATTAATAGAATGATAATAGTAAAATGCTAAATTATACTTTGAATGTGTTGATAATCATCATGGTCCGTCTCCATTTCATGAACATTAGAGTTCTGGCTGTGTATCATCATAATCAGGCATCATAATATGCAATACGCGATGGTTTATTTCACTTTCACCTATAGTGTTAAGACATGTTCGTTTGTCCACTGTACTGACGGTAAATTCAAAGCAATCGGAACGATGAATGGTCTTCGGATTTTCTGAGAACATAACGGTGGATCCCCCGCATGACATAGAGTCCTTTAATATTTTCTATGTCAAGGTGTGCGAAACAAACTCCCAGGGTCGTACCAGCATAAAACAAGTAGTAAATATATACATGTACAACGATTAGGTGATGATATTAAAATTGTCATTGCTGGTAAAAAGTCTCCTGGGTCATAATCATCACAGACAAACCACACATTCTTGTTTGCAAGTTCTGAAAAATTCTTCATGCCAGTACTTGCACAGAATTCTTTTCTTGAAAATAAAACGGTATAACACATTATCTTTGTCCGATAGTACAGTAATGTCTGTGGGAAAAATTAAGTTATCTTTAAATGCTGGTTAGAAATACGGTTCAAGCAAACAAACAGGAAATTACTTACCTTGCTACAACAAGACCCAAATAATATATCAATTTTCCAATGCCGGGTTTCCGGTTATTACAAAATAACCACCAACAGAGGTTGTGATGATTTTAGTTAATTCTTTATAACATTTACGAACAAAAGAACCTATTTCCCAAGGACTCGTTCCCGTGATTAATACTTCAAATGAAAAACTATTATCACAAGAAGAGTCATTCAACACATTCCAGAATTCAGGACCAACTAGCTACATATATACCAAATACTTTCTTGAACATTTACCAGATCTAAACGAAAGGAAATGAATGGAAAATATTTTATATGTGTATCCACTCCCTGGACAAAGGTTCGGTCTTCACAAATCAAATAATTCTGCAAAAAGTACGTAATAACAACATACCAAATTGTAGCCAAGTTTTCTATGCACGAAAAATTTAAAGTTGCTGTGATGGCTAAACAAAAAAAAATAAAAAATCTGACCAAAATATCTGCCAAAAAAAATTAATTGCCCAAAAACTTCTCCCCTGCTTAATTTTTCATTCGGGCGACATAATAACCACGCCTAAATTCTGGCATGTTATAAGAGAAACCTCGTTATATGCTTACGTTTTTTTGTTGTTTACTTAAAAAAAAAAATTTAATAACATTTAAAACTTTCACTAGAATTAAAAATTAAATAAAAAAAAATGTCAAGTTAAAAAATTGAAAGTAAACAAATAATTGGACTTTACAGTGGAGGTAATGCTATTTCACATATTTCTAAATCACTTGACTTTGCAAGAACAATTGTGGTCGAAACAATGAAAATCTTTCGGGAAGGTTAGTGTTGAAAAGTGGATATCCTAAACTTTTGGATGCGAATTAGTCGAAAAAATTGTTGAAAAGAGAATCTGAACAAATAAAAGACCTGCTCAATTAATACATACTGTATATTCGTATATATATATAATTTAGAAATTACCCTGTACTATTACCCTGGTGTTAAATGTTGTGTAATGATTATGCATACACTATAAATGAAAGCATAATAATAAATTTGTTGGAAAAAAAAAAATTTTTTTTCATCGAAACCAAAATGTCTAATAATAACAAGTTCTCATCCTTGGAAAATATCACGCTCTTATTTAACAACCTTTGCACCAATAATTCTCTGCAATTAAAATATTTTAGTAAACTAGTAAATGATTTTTCAAATTTGTTGGATAATTCAGATTATTATGACGTAGAAATTAAAGTTGGAACAGAAAAGGATGATGTCAAAATTTTTAAAGCTCATTCAACTATTTTAAAGGCAAGATCCTTGTACTTTAGAGCAGCTTTATCTAATAATTGGGTTGAAAAATCTGATAATGGTAATATTTTATTTGAAAAAGAAAATATTTCCCCAAGAGTTTTTGAAGTGCTTTTAATGTAAGGAATAATAAAGTAAAATTGAGTTAAATATATATTGATTTATAATTAATATTTTTATTATTTTATCATATTATTTTTAAAAGGTATATCTACAATGGAATTATTAATATAGATAAACTGGATGCAAATGAAATTTTAGAACTTCTTGAAGCATGCGATGAATTAAATTTTAATGAATTAATTGATGATTTACAAAATTATTTAATCAATGAAATAAATGAATGGCTTTGCCAAAATTTAATTTACATTCATAAAATTTCATCAAAACATCAATTATTCAGCTTACTTCAAGATTTCTGTAATGAATTAATTTGTGAAAATCCAGGAATAATTTTAAAATCTAATGATGTTGCAGCAATTGAAAAATCAATGCTAATTTCTATATTGGAAAGTGATAATTTAAAATTAGATGAGATTGATATTTGGAATCATGTCATTCAATGGGGTGTAGGACAAAATGAGACATTGGGAAAAAATATTTCAGTATGGAGTAAAGATGATTTCAAAAAATTGAAAAATATATTAGAAGACATTATTCCATTGATAAGATTCCATGAAATTTC